CACAGTGTATGCATACATTCTATTTCAGATTCTCATTAAAAACATTGATTGATACTCTGTGATTCATTCTAAAATTCGATTGAAAAATAAATTTTAACCAACCAAAATTTATTTTAATTTCACTAAAATGATGTTTGAAACATAGTTTGATACACACAAAAGGTAACTACAAATTTCATAGTGGTTTTTGACCGACATATATGTAGAGGAAAACTTTCTCTATCTAATAGAGAATGTATTAACGCTTACAATTGACATTACATAGAGGGCGCCATCTATTGAAATGACAATGGTACGAAAAAAAAAGTTTTCCTCGACAAACCTCTTAATATTCTAGGGTAAAAAAAACTTGTCGTTATCTTTATATGAACTTTTGAATTATATTTGAGTGACATCTAGATAGAAACAAAAAATATTTTGAACTGAAATGTTTCTTATTTTGAAATTGATCCTCCTCTTTGATGCTTTACTGATCGTTTTAAACACTATCTGTCTATATCCTGGAATAAATTAAATTCGTCCATATAGATTTTTCTCTTCTAGAACCATCTCTCTCTTTTTTTTGATAATAGATATTCTATATATAACCTTAGATAGATGATTTAAAATACAAACGTGACTGTTTTCATCGAATAATATATATCATTATCCAGCTATAGTCGAAATCATATAACGTGAATAAAAGAGAAAAGAAAAAAAATAGTGCACTTTTCGATTTTATCATCATCATTTTCCGTCTTTCTCCATTCGTACGTCGATAGCAGAATAAATATATCAAAATGACCTTAGCTAATAATACATCATTAAAGAAAACTTCATCATCATCTGGTACAACTGATTGACCATATCTTGGTTCAAAAATTAGTCTTGTATCAAAAGCTAAAATTCGTTATGAAGGTATTCTATATACAATTGATGCTAATGAATCAACTGTAGCACTTTCAAAAGGTAAGAATTTCAAAACAAACATTATGAAAATAAAATTTCTCTTTATTTTAGTACGTTCATTTGGTACTGAAGATCGTCCAACTGATCGACCTGTACCTGCTCGAGATGAAATCTTCGAATATATTATTTTTCGTGGTGCTGATATTGAAGATCTTCAAGTACGCGAACCTCCACAAAATTCATTGACTCAAGATCCAGCAATTGTTGAGGTACTTATTAACATCGAGATACACTTATCAGTTTATCGGTAATTGATATACACTCTTAACCATGCTTTAATTAGTATCCATTACTGATGAACTGATATATATATATATATATATATATATATATATATGTCACTATTGTATCTCTATTCAATATTATTCTTTGTTTTATTAGTCATCGACATATTCGGATAATGTTCGTTCGAATTCAATTGGAACCAATACAAATCTTGGAGGTATTCAAACATCAAAACATATTTTGTTTAACATACTATCATAATTTTAGGAATATCTCAAAATGGTCAAACACATTCATTATCAAATCGAGGTACAATGCCATCACCACCTATTCGTCAAAGTACTGGCAAAGGTTTGAAATCATCTGAATCATTACGTCCATTCAATTTAAATCAAAAACGTTCATCAAGAGGATTTAGTCAACAATCACCATTACGTCCATATGATGAACAAGATTATTCTTATGGTGGTTATCAACGACGTACTCGTCAACAAGATTATTATAATGATCGTCGAAATAATAATAATGAATGGTCACGTCAATCACAACGTTTTTCAAGACCATTACAAAGTTATAATGATAATCGATTTTATTCAACGAGACGTAAGTTTAATTTTTCTATTCAATATTTTCTTTTTTTTCTTATGTTTATTATTTTTTCAAAGGTCAACAACCAACAGGAAGATTTAATTATCGCCAACGACGTAATTCAACTGGTGGTATCCCTAATAATCAACAACAACAACAAACACGAAATAATCGTCAACAACGTGAACGTAGTAATGTTAATACTCGATCAACATTAAAATTTATTGGTGATTTTGATTTTGAAAAATCTAATGCTGAATTTGATAAAAATGCAATTGAAGATGAAATTAAAAAAAGTTTATCAATTAAAATAAATGATAAAAATGAAATAACAAATGATTCACCAAAAATTGAACAAGAAAAAGATAAAGATAATCAACAAATAATTTCATCATTAACAACAAAATTAGAACAACAAGATATTAATTCTGATGGTTATTATGATAAACAAAAAAGTTTCTTTGATCGTATTTCATGTGAAGCTACAGAAAAAGAAAAAACGTAAATCTAATAAAAAAAAAAAAACAATTTTTTTTCTTATTTATTTAAAAAAAATAATTTTAGAAATGCTCGTCGTAATCGAAATGAAGAACGTCGTGTTAATGCTGAAACATTTGGTTTACAATGTCGTTCAATACCATCAAGTGGAAATCAACGTTTTGGTTATCGACGAAATAATAATGGTCGTTATCAACGTACAACAAATGGAAATTATGGTAATCGTAATGCTATGTACTATGGAAATGTAAACAATCGAGTGCGAGTCTATTAACATAAACGAACATGGATATATCTATGTGCGCTTATAGTCATTTGGTTAAATCATATTTCTCTTTCGTTTAAACTGTGACTTTTTTTTCTTATTCTTACTGTTTTATTTTTTTTTTTTTGGATTGTTATACTCGTGCTAGATTTTTTTTTAAAACAGACGAATTATGTGATTTATGATGAGAGAGAAAAAGAACAAGAGAGAATATATAGACATGTTTTTATTTTATTTGTATCAAAAAAAAAAAAGAATGTTTCTTTTCTTTAAAACTAATAAAAGTTTACGAGAAAAGATCTAATGAAATGATTGATTTAAATTATTTTGATCAAAATATTGAATCAATATAAAGCAAGAATAAATTCTATAATGATCGAAAACGAGATTAGGATAAGATGTAACAAGAACGTGAATAATTTGCATTACTCTCCTATCTGCCGAAGTTATGATTATGTTCATTAAAATTGCAAGTGTTTGAATATGAAGACTCATACAGATAGTTCTACAAGTACTAGCTGTTATAATTTCGTTTATCGGCACGGCCAAGCGTTACGGAATTTCATTTTTTCAACTTGTGAGATAAATATCTTCTCAATAACAAGAGAAATGCTTCTGAAATTTTGGGCATACATAAACGTAAACTAGCTCTGTGAGCACTGAAAATCTCATGGAGTTATCACAAGCCATGGCGAAATTATTTGAAAAATATCGTTCGTTACGGAATTTCAAAAAATGGACAAAATTTTTAGGGATGACTCACATTTTAGCATTTTTATACGAAACTAAGCTACTCATAAATGAACGTTCTATACAAAAGTTGTTCAGTTTTTCACATACTCTTAGAATATCATATCATTTTCGCCTTAGGACAATCCCTTCGAGTAAGCTAACTTAAAAGGCTGAGCGTTACGGAATTTCAAATGTTATGGAATTTCACCAATTTTCTCTTTTTCCACGGAGGACAGTTTCGTGCCATTTTTATGATAATTTTACCTGTTTAATCTAACCTTTTTTGTTCCATAACGATTAAGAATATTGTTTTATATAAATCGATTAGTTTATTTTCATCTTCTTTTGAAAATTTCATTGAAAATTCCATTCATTATTTTGACAAAAATGAAAGGTTAAAAAGTGAAAAAACAGTGAAATTTCGTAATTATTCGTGTTTTTAAACTCGTAGGAAAGAAAAATGATATTGGTTTTATATGTCAGCTGTGTAACTCGGAATACGGAACAAACTTAATAATATTTCAAGATCACACTCTCTATAACAAACTTTTTTTTCTGAATCTTACTGATTTCGAACCTTCCCCAACGAAGGGGACCGATGGCTGGCCGTGCCGTTATCAAGCCATGAAATATATATCAACAAATGATCTTGACAGAACAGAATAGACTTTCTGGATTGTTTTAATAGAATTTTGGAACAATTGCACAATAATATATAGGAAAATATATTCGTTCTATTTTATGAGAATTTTATTTTCAGGTCTACTTTATGATACTCGACATGTAACAGTATCAATATTAAATTTAAATTCTAAATATGTATAGATTCAAGGTTTTTTTCTTCTACTAATATCCGTGCTCTGACTATGAATGATTTATTATTTATTTTAAACAGAACATGAAGATTGTTCTCATTTCCTGAAATTATTCCAAAAAAAAATCTTGATTTTGTTTTCTTTTTCATGAATGTTTTTTTATTATTAAATAAAAGCAGAAAGAAAACACAACAGAAAAAAGAATAGAACCAAAACACAACAATGGAAAAAAAGTGATAAAATCTTTGTCGACATTATTAAAAAAAGATTTCATCTGTACCCATTTGACTCATTTCTAATTCATCATCAAGATGTTCATTACTTTTACGTCCTTCTCTTGATGCAACCATTTGATGACCACGTTTTAATCCTTGTTGTATATCATCATTTGTTGATATATTATTCTTTGG